GGTGTAGCCCCCCAGCTCAATCCCGGCCCTCCCAGGCATCCTCCCGTTGCTTGTTCTCCAAGCGCTTCCTCTCTGCAGAGACAAGAGGAGGGTCAACCTCACACCCCCATCACCCCACAGGCATCCCCTTCCCTGTGGAGGTAGCCAGGAGCCCAACCTTGTGGACCCCTCTCCAACCCAGCACCCTGTGAGAAGGGTTATCCATGAGGCAGGTCCACATGCAGCACCCCCCCAAGCCATCCAAATCTCACCTCGGGCTTCTTGCAGCTTCCTCCGCTCAGCATCTCGCTGGGCTCGTGTCTGGTTGCTGCGTACTCCCAGGGCACCGATCACCAGTCGCCTGGCCAGGGCGGCCGATGTTTCGGGGCGCTCTTTGGCTGGCTGCAGGTAGTCTGGGTGAGTGGAGATGGGGGGCATCAACAGGGGCATCCTGGGAGGGTCAGGGCGGCCAGCATGGCTCCACAGCACTTAAGCACTGTAGAGCTGTGCCAGCTGCCTCACCCTCCCCAGTTACTGGGATGAAGATGCCGCAGCACAAGCAGGCACGGGGCAGCATCACTTACCGGCATATGCCCTGGCTTTGGCTTTAGAGGCACGGGTGGCCTGGGAGAGCGGGCGCGTCTTCACCATCAGGTGTTTGGTGCTGAGGGCATCGCGTGCTGCAGGGAGAGAGCAGCCGTGTCTGCACGTGAGGTCAGGCCCAGGATCCAGCCACGGGAGAGGCAGGGATGCCTTCCCTCTTCCCACCCCCAGCCAAACTGGGAGCAGTACCTGCTATGGGGCTGGAGAAGATGCCCAGGGCATGCGTATCGTCCACCCACTTAATATCAAAGCCTTTCTTCCTGCCAGAGAGAGGGAAGCTCAGCAAGGCAGTGGCACCAGGTGGGCAGGGGTCTGGAGCAGAGCCCAGGCAGGGCACACCAGCACCAGGGTCAGGGCACTGCTAGCAGACTCACTGATAGCTGCAGAAGACACGCAGCAGGTCCTCGGTGCGGAAGTCCGAAGGGAAATCATAGATCTCGATGACATGGGGCAGCTCAGCATCACTGAGGTCCAGTGCGGCGGGCTCAGCCCCGTAGTAGTCAAAACGGGGTGACTGCAGGCTCTCCCGGCGCTTCTCACCCCCTGAGAGCTGCAAGGGTGGGAGAGGCACAGCACTGAGCAACCTGGGCCCACCTGCCCCACACCAGCTCCCGATCCATGGCAAGTGCTCCCTCGGAAGTGGTCCAGCTCCCATGCCCCAGCCCAGCACTGCAGATGGATTCATGGCGTTAAGATATTAGGAGTTATCGACTGGGGCTTTCACGTCATGCCCTTGCTTTTCCCATAACCAGCATCCCTCCACTTGCTGCACCCTGCAGTCCCATCACAGATGCGGTAGGAATGGTGCTGGTGAGACAGAGCTGCACCCCCAAGCACACCCCACCTTCCACAGTGATGTGCTGACCACAAATACGTTTGGGGAACTACATGGAGTAGGACAGCAAGGCCAGGAGGAAAGATCTGCCTGCCGCACAGGAGCACCATGTTCGGCATGCCCCGACTGCAGCACATGCAATGGAGCAGCCCATCAGCACCCCAGACACCAAGATGGAAAAGCCAGCACTCCCCAGAGGAGCAAGTTCTGGTGGTTAATCACCTGTTCAGCTAAAAATTTATGCCTTATTTCTCATCTGAATTTATCTGGCTTTGCTTTCTAGCCAGTGGTTCTTGTTCTACTCCCCCATGATGGCACTTACGCTGCTAAAGTCTCTTCTCAATCTCCTTCTTGATAAGCTAAACGGGTTGTACATCTTTAGTATCTCACAGAAAGGTACTTTCTCCAGCCCTAAAAGATGACAGCTGTAGTTCTTTTCTACCTCTCCCATTTTTCAGCCTTCTTTTTCTTAAACGTGGCAGCAGTCTCCCATGATGACATGGTGGTGCAACCACCCTTTTCTCCCATCTACCCCACAGCATCGGTGCCAGTGGGCACCAATTGCTTCGCCTCTGCTTTCCAAACCATGCCATGCTGGCAGCTGAGGGGATTCACAGCTCTTATCTGACCGAGACACCGGACCAGGAGCAGCCCAAAGCTGCTGGTGGCTCCCCTGTCCTCCCTGGAGCGTGAGGCCAGCATGGTGCTGGGGAGCAAGTACATAACTCAGCCGGGTTCTCAGCTCGATCCCCCAAGCGCTCCTAGCAGAGCACACCACGGCTGGAAGGTTAGAGACCATAAATCCCAGCCAGCTCAGTCAATAAAAAGTGCTCATTCCGACAATTTTATGGGCAAGATGGATTCACGGCAGGTGAGGGGGTGCTGCCAGGGTGGCTGGCTGCTGGCGGAGGGTAGAGCTGAGTTATGGAGCTCACGGGACAGGCTA